GAGAGGATCAAAAAAATAACTATTGGGCACTAAGCTTAATACCTGGGTGATGAAATAATCTGTACAACAAACCCCTGTGACATGAGTTTACCTACGTAACAAACCTGCACGTGTACCTACAAACCTAAAATAAAAGTTAAAAAAATTATAGTGAAAATATTGTTTTGGTTTTAAACACTCAAGAGAAAACCCACCAGGGCACTGAATGGAACTTGCTGTACCATTTAACACTTCCCTTATCCATGGGACTGGAGCTCATCCGCTTTCCTCTCCAGGGACTCAGTAGACGCATGTCTTGAAACCAGAGACAGCCTCTCCCTCTACAGAGCAAGTCAGTAGACAGAGAAGTAATGGACGTTCACCAGAGGCTACAAAATGTACGAGTCATGAGAAGGGACCAAGGGAGAAGAAAACTTGATTATTTCTGTAAGGAAGAGGGAGGGATGGTAGATCCAAAAAACAGGATATCAATGAGAAGGAAGGAAAGGGAGGCACAATGGGGAGAGAGAATGAAACTAAAGACCAACAGAGGACCTGTGGTCACACTAAAAGTCACACCCAAGTCAAGGTCTAAGGCAGGAGAGATCACTGCTTAAGCTTCCGAGGGCGGGGAACCTGTGGAGGAGAGACAATGCCTTCTTCCCCAGTTTTGTCCCTGAATCTCTACAGCAGCAAAACAATGATCTCTAGTAAACACCTGCTTAAACTCTGACTGCATTTCAGTGGCTATCTGGTTTATGGAAAGGCAGGTGAGGAGGTGTCCAGCCCAGAGGGGGATGGTTTCCTGCCCCGTGGTAATTGCTGTGGTTTCCCAGGACAGCCACGAGTGTCCTCTCAGGGACACATATCCAACTGCAAAAACAGCCCCAACAGCCCACTACTATGTTCCCTTCCTTAGAGGCTACCTAGTGACCCACTTGTCAGCAGAAAAGGCCGGAAGCTGCTGTATGGTTTGTTAAAAGAAAGACTTTAGATAAATTAACAGGGTTAATTGAACAAAGAACAATTGGAGAATTGGGCAACCCCACCATCAGAATAGGTTCGGAGCAGCTGGTGCTGTCATGCATTAGAGAGGATTTATGGGCAGAAGAAAGTAAATGATGTAGAGGAAGCAGAAGTGAGATACAGAAACAGTCAGATTGGTTACAGCTTGGGGTTTGCCTTATTTGACCATGGTTTGAACAGTTGGCTGCTGTGATTGGCTGAAACTTGGCTACTTGTTACAAGAGTTCATTAAAGTCTGTTTATGCATCCAGTTAGACTACAGTTCACTAAGTATGGAGAAATCTTTAGGCTAAAATATGTAAGGAGGCAGCTTTAGGCTAAGCAATTTAATAGGTTTTACATAGCAACCCTTGACCTGATTTGCCTTCTAGTTAAAAGTAGCTAATTAAAACTTACTTCATCTTCAGTAGAAGAGCCGAATGGGTAAAGCAAGCACAACGTAAAAATTGTGACATTAATTTCCCTACTCTCTTCCTTCTTAGAATTCCAGACCATCTGAGAACCTGTATTTATTTCAATGGATGGTATGAGTTTATAAAAAGATGCATGAAGGCATGACTGTTAGCATCACCGAAAAATTGTAATATAACCAAAGTACACACAGTAAGTTTCTTGTGATATTTTATTCTTCAAATGCATTTAAAATGTAATTCCAGGCCAGGCATGGATGGCTCATGCCTGTAATCCCAGCACTCTAAGAGGCCAAGGTAGATGGATCAACTAGAGGTCAGAAGTTTGAGATGTGCCTGAGCAACACAGTGAAACCCTCTCTCTGCAAAACATACAAAAATTAGCTGGGTGTGGTGACATATGCCTGTTGTTCCAGTTACTCAGGAGGCTGAGGTAGGGACATCACTTGAACCTGGGAGGTCAATGCTGCAGTGAGCCTTGATCTCGCCCTTGCATTCCAGTCTGGGTAACAGAGTGACAACGCCCTGTCTCAAGAAAAAAAAAAAAAAAGAATGTAATTCCAAAAATTCAAAACTTGTTCAGGAAGACAAGGGTAGGTATGTTTGTTGATTGTCTCTCTCATATCCATTCCCTACCTCTCTTTTCCTAACAGATCTGGGATTTCCCAGCAAGGTAGTTTGGGTGAAATAGGTTCTACCCATCCAGGTCCTGGAGCAGACCCTGACTGGCTTAATCTAATTAGAATGATCTACCCCTCCTAGTCACATCAGTTGGTGCAAGGATGGGCACCTGACTACAATCTTGCCAATCAAAGCCAGCAAGATTCAATTAGGGGATTTTGCTTAAGCTATTAGAGAAGCAATGCCTTTCTGCTGGATCTAGCCAGCAAGCATGTAGCTCTGAGAGCTTCCAAAAGTCTTTTGGGATCGGGAGAGGTGGCCCTGTCTAAGAATAGAGCCATTAAACATGAAAGTGGCAAGGCTAAGAGGTGAAGAGGAGAAACTGGGTCCTAGTTAGTGTTGAAGCCAGGAATACAGCCTCATTTTCTAAAACTGCTCTACATCAATCAATATATTTGCTTTTCTGAGCCAGTTTGGGTCAGGTTTTCCTGTCATTTGTAACTACAACACCTTATTTTTAAAAATCTACCTTATAAAAGGTAACACAAGTGTCTAAAATTCTTTTACTGATCATTTGAAATTGAAGTTTCATTTTCATAATGAAATCACATGAAGAACCACAAAATACTGGCAACACCCACTGCAGAAAGGAAGTGGGTTATTTCCACCACTCGCTAGCCTTTCTTTTCTCTCTTTTTCTCCCTTTTTCCCCACTCTCTCTGCCTCTCAACTTGCAAAGGAAACACTTGGGTAAATCCTATTTGGCCGAAGTCAAGTGCACTGAAGACTGCATTCGTTTTGCGGGAAGGTGCTGAGAATTTCAGTGTCAAGTGTATGGTGCCCTGGAGTGTTAGTAATCTAGATTTTCCTTCCTTTTGTGGGTAATTTGCACCATGACTTTTTAGCTACCACTCTCTGCCTTTATAATCCGCCACTTTTACTGGGTGAAGAAAACACAGCCTTAATTCTCCCTTGTAAGGCGAACCCTGGGCATGTGTCAATGCCAGCTACAGCTGCCACAAGTATCACAAGTCTGCGTGCTCTCTTCTTTCAGGATTTGGGGGCCCATTTTGAATCTTTTTGTATCCCTCACTACAGGCAAATATTTTTAAATGTCCCTTTATGATGATGATGTTAATGTAACTGTTTTGGTACCTGATTAAATCCAATTTTGCACGTATCTGGTGAGTATTACGTGGTAGAGTTATCTCTCCATGCCACCCCTTCCCTGCCTATTGTGGGGTGCTAGGCAGTTGCATTGGACTGTGCCTTAATTGTTCAGCAATTAAATTTCCCTGTCTGCACAATGGACTGTGTGAGGTCCTTGAGACAGAACTAGCTCCACAAAGGGTGCTCTGACTTTGCTCACCCCTCCCGCCATCCTCAGCTGCAGGGCCTCTACTACTCAACTACAGGTCTTAAACAATGTCCATAGTGTCATTCATCAATTCCTTGAAATTCTTTTTTAAAATTTTTTCTTCCCGGTAACAGGGACATATAGGACTGTGCTTGGCTGTCTTTCCTAGTTGGGGGAGTACAGGCTCTCTCCTATGTCTGATATTTTGGCTTTTGGTTTCTCTCCCTTATTGACTAGATTGCTTTAGGGATCTGGCGAATGGTTCCACAGATCCAAAGTTCCAGCAGCCTGTAAGTGCATGTTGTCAGGGTGACCTCTGGCAGTGTGTGGCCAGGGGCTCCCTCCATGGCAATGGCCTCATGTGGACCTCAGTGAGCCTTAAAGAACATACAGACACCTCTGTCACTTGGGATGTGGCATTCAATGCTGCCTCAGTGGGGTGCATAACCTTGACATCCATTTTCATGACTGACGCCATGCAGCCTCCAGGGAATGCTCAGCTCAATCCCCTAAAAACACGACTTTACAGCCTCTCAATGCCATGAAGAATGGTGACACTGTTGACGTTTGAGACTAACATTATGTCAAATCCAAGAAAACCTAGATTTTTTTTTTAAAGGTCAGCTTGTCAAATCCTTCTTCTCAGACAGCACGAATGCAGTAATTCCTGCATTACAACGTACTGTTTCCCAAGGGTGAGAATCGTCCATTTTCTTGCTTCTGTCAGTGTTCCAGGTTGTGGTTCCAGATGTACTCAAGAATTAGTATGGTTTTTGCAACAGTTACACATGGCACTTAAGGAGTGGCAGTAATTCTTATTACTCTAAAATTTCTATTTATAAAAGTTGGAAATCCTGTATGGATTTGATATAAGGAGGGATGGTACAATTTACGAAATAAGTAGAAGCAACTTACATAACAAAATTATTTTGCATTTTTCTGTAAAAATTTATCATATTGGTTCCATAATAATGGATGATATAATGTTTAAAATTCATGAGTTATTTCTAAACCTGAGGATCGCTTTCATTTTAAAAACAATTCTGTTGTAAATGCTTCAGCAAAGTTACTCCAAGTTGAAATGAATAAACTACACTCTAAGAACGACAGACACTCAAGGAAGATTGTCTAATTTGGCATTAAGAACATAATATTGATTGCAACGGTATATTAAGGGATTTTGTTAGAGAAAAATATGGAAAAAACATAAAAATGACTTATGTCTTGAATATTGCTTGTCTCTAGAATATTAGTCATCCAGATATCACCAGGCCATCATCAGAACAGTCAGACTTCTGCGATCATGATTAAATTCAGTCATCGTTGATGTTCTGCTGACATTTGGTCATATGAAAGCCAAAGCTTTGCAAGAATAATTGGCAGTGTGAGAACAGAACACACTTTAGCAGCTTCATTTGTAACTTTTAAGTATTTGGGCATATGGCATATAGACCTCCATTTCTCCTCCTGCCCCATTGAGCAAATGGTGGTGGTGGGCTGGAGTGGGTGGTACCCGGTTCGAGATGTCCGGGGGCTCTCCCTTAGAGTCCCGCAGCGCTAGACTCCGGGGAGCGGTCCCGCAGGTGCCAGAGGCCCCGCCCCCGCCGCCCACCTCCTTGGGAATTGGCTGCTCAGGTCCTAGGGGGCGGCCCCAGCGTGGGGATGAAGTCCGGCTTTGCGGGCGCGGGCTGCGTGGGGTTTCAGTCACTGGTGGACAAAGCGCCGCGCGCTGGTGTTGCGGCCCGGGCGGAGATCCCCGTCACCCTCCCTTTCCTTCCACACGGGCTCGCTCGCTCTTCCTCCGCGCCTTGCCCTCCCCCGGACTCCCGGGTACGGCCCCTTCGGGGGAGGGTGGGGCGCTCGGGTCTCCTGGCCCCGCGTGCGTGTGTCCGAGCAGCCCCGGGCGGTGGGCGAGGACGCGGCTTGGGTACCCGGGAGGGGCCGCACCACCGGGTCTGCAGGAAGCGGAGGCGGCCGCGGCTCGAGGACCGGCTCGGCGGGGTGAGAGACACCCGGAAACGGATTCCGCTTCGGGGCCAGCGCGAGCCGGGTGTTTCGGAGGGCGCGAGAGGAGCTGGCGGGCGCTGCTGAGTAATCCCCGCGGCGGCGGCCGGGCGCCCACCTCCCCCGCCGCTCTGCAGCCGGGCCGCGGCTCCTCCCTCCGCGGCCCTTTCCTCCTCCTCCCTCGTCTCCCCTCTCTTCCCCTCCCCTCCCGGCTCCGCTCGGCTCCCGGCAGGTAGAACCGGGCTCCGGGCGCGCGTGCGGCCGCAGCAGCTGCTCCCGACCTCGCCTCGGCCCAACCCGGGGCCTCGCGCGCCCATGGCCGGCTCCGAGCAGCAGCGGCCGCGGCGGCGGGACGACGGAGACTCGGACGCGGCGGCGGCGGCGGCGGCGGCTCCCCTGCAGGACGCGGAGCTGGCCCTGGCCGGCATCAACATGCTGCTCAACAACGGCTTCAGGGAGTCGGACCAGCTTTTCAAACAATACAGGTGACCCACGCGCCCCCGCTCACCCAACCCGGCCGTGCGCATTTCGTGTCCGGCTCACGCGCCTCGACCTGCGGCCCCCCGGGAGCCCCCTCCCCCTCCCGTCGGTCGCCGATTCCGGTCCCCAGGTCGCCTCCCCGGGCAAGATCTGCAGCCGGAGCTAATGCGCCTCGGCCACATCCCCGCTGTCCACCCCCTATCCCCGGCTCCCTGGTCCTTTCCCTCCCGGGACCCGCCGCGCACCCGCGGTCTCCCCTCACTTTCTCCCAGCCTTGCCCTCCCAGAGATGTGCCCGCGGCCGCTCGGCTTCTCTCCGCTGGGCAGCTGGCTTTGGGACCGGTTTCAGAGTGAGGCAGCAGTGAGCCTGGGACGCGGACTTGTGGTGACTCTGGCTCTCGAACTGCCCTGCCAGTCTTTGTGACACGGAGCCCACCAGCTTCCTGCTCCTCGCGCCTCGCGTGGCTCTGCATCATTGTACATTCTAGACGCTTTTATTGTTTGAAAACAGATACCCGCACGCTTGCTTTGCCGTGCAGGAATTTAAAATTTTCAGCCCAACTCTGCCCATTCATCTCTCTGCCTTGTTTTCTACAAACTCGGTCCTCAAAATGAGTTCCTGGTGTCTTTCAAGCAGGCATTATTTATTAAGAATTTCTCCAACGTGAAGGAAGAAGTTGGAGTTTTAAAAAGTATATGAGAATGGTAGGAAAACGTGTGTGTTCGGTTAATTTTTTTCTTTGTCTTTAAAAAAATAAAGCGAAAGAACTGAAACCTGGTAGCTTTCCTGTGGGGGTGGAAGGAACCTTCATTTCCTTGGGGACCTGGCGTGTCTCTTCTGGGGTTGAGGAAGCAAGTTTGTGATTTGCCGTTTGCTTGATGACAAGCCGTAGGGATGATGATGAGCAGCTTTCCGAACACGTCGAGGGGCCGTATGCTTCACACTTTGGAGACCCTGTAGTCTGGTTGGAACGAGAGGATCAATGTGCAACGGTGACCGAGAGACAGAGTTTGTAAGAATGAGAGGAGAGAGAGAGAGTGATGTCTAAAGTCTCAGACCTCAAAGAATGGTGGTTTCTACCCAGCAGAGCTGCTACCTTCTTAATGGCCAAGCAAATATCTCACAACTATGAACTTTTCACTAAAGTCCTTTTATTTTTAAATCGGCGATTTTCCCCCCTTTTCTGAAAATAAAAACAACTTCACTTTACTTAGAACATTTCATTTTTAAAGCGTACAAGTCTGGTTTCAAGATGGGGTTGCATCAAAGGCTGTTGATGGGAGATTTAAAAGATTTACTTGTCACGCGGTTTCTCTTTTGTAGTTTTTAAGCCCTCAGGAAAAAAGGTCTGAATATTTCCTATACTGTACTATGATTTTTTTTTTTAGACTTCTAGTTTGTGTTGTATGAGAGAAGGATGGAGAGTCATAGAGGCAGATTTACTCTTTTTAGTTGATGATTAAGGTACTTGGATATTCAGTACTTCTTGCTCTGAAGTTTCCTGTGATATTTATTTCAATGGTCTTTTTTTCCTCTTCCTTTTCTGGTTAGTAGGCTGAAATACTACCTTTACATTGAAAGCATGAAATTTTTGCATTATCTAGACAATTGCATTTACTGTTAATAGAAAGCAGTATGTCAGTGGTTGGAAAACTCACAGCAACAGCGGAGAGACGCCCCTTCAAAGGTATTTCTCTGTGGGTGAGTGCATTGGAAGTGTCCAGGGAATATTTACCTTGTATAACTAGGTACTATCTGCTTGTATTTTGATATGGGAACTGAAGATGAAGAAGGGAAAAAAATTGTAGTACCTCTTTTCTGCCAAGCACGGTGCCAGACACATTCCCTTGTATATTCTCACTATTGTGATGACAACAAAAGAGTGAGATGTGTCTTATCATGACAGGTGTATAATGAGGGCCATGAGACTTAGTTTTCCCTAGGGACCAGGACACAAACACTGTAGTTCTAAATCAAGGATTCTTTTCATTTTACCATTCTGCCTCCCTCACTGAATTTATAATAATTTGTCATCTGCTCTGTGACTTTATTTTCCAGCAATGTTAAAAAGCTTTTTTAGAAGTGGTAGGAGGAAAAAAGACAGAGGTAGACAGAGATGGTATCATCCTATCAGCTTTCCTTGGCCCCATCTGATTTGTTGGTGGTATGGATGATCATTACATCCTTCCCGCCTCCCAAAATATGCTTCTGATGTGTGTTTTGGAAAGCACAATTGCATACAGGTGTGATCATGGACCAGCATTCTGCAGCCTGGGTTCCAGTCTTGCTTCTGCCACTTTTGTAGCTGCTGACTTTGGTTTCTCAAAATTTACTTCCTTATCTATAAAATAGGAGGAACAATAAGAGTACCCACATTATCGTGTGGTTGTTAGAATTAAAAGTCATAATCCATGGCCCCTGGCTAAGTGTAAGCACTTAATAAATTCTGGCTAGCTTCGGTATGTGGTGCCTTCCCCGATAGCATTATGCTTTCTTATCGACTGCATAGTTTGAGTACAAGACATGATGTCTTGTGTGCAGGTAGCTTTTCTATTTAAAGTTCATCTTAAGTATTACATATGAAGAATTTAAGATTCTGTTATGCATTGGGAAACTTCCCTTTCTGTTCCAAAGGGAAATGGCCTGCTGAAGGCTCAGCAGTGACTTGATAAGTGTTTAAGGAGCACACCCCCGGCTCATTTTAGCTACAGAGCAGGGTTAGGCAAATTACCCTCTGTCTCTTTTTTAAATGATTGTTTATCACAGGGGGACACCCTTCCTCTACTAGTAAACCTTCCAGTCTTATTGTTACAGTTTAACCGTAGAAACATATTTTGTATCTAGCATAACAGTATTTTTATTAAAGCAAGAAGATCATTTTCTCATGCCACATTACTGGAATGAAGAAAGTTTATCAGCAGCTGCCTGATGAGAAATGGTTACTTTGTAGAAACATTATGGTGAAGGCCACTCTGAATTAGTGGAAAGTCTGGGTTGTATAATTCAGATATTTCGTATATAGGAATTAGAAATATATGCACAGTAGAAGCCGCCTTTTCTTTTCTTTCTTTTTTTTTTTCTGAGACAGAGTCCCGCTTCATCACCCAGGCTGGAGAGCAATGGCCCGATCTTGGCTCACTGCAACCTCCAACTCCCTGGTTTAAGCAATTCTCTTGCCGCAGCCTCCAAGTAGCTGGGATTATAGGCCACTGCCACAATGCCTGGCTAATTTTTTTGTATTTTTAGTACAGACGGGGTTTCTCCATGTTGGCCAGATTGGTCTTGAACTCCTGACCTCAGGTGATCTGCCTGCCTTGGCATCCCAAAGTTTTGGGATTACAGGCGTGAGCCATCATGTCCGGCAGTAGAAGCTTTCTTTTGGAATATAGGACAACTCCTTGGTTGGGATTTGAAACTGTAGCTGCCTTTCTATTGGAACTATAGTAATAATGTAGCAACAAGCTGCCCTTTGGTGGTACTGAGCCACCAAAGACGGCTTTGAGATGCACTCTGAGATGTTTTCCCAGAGGTTAGGATAGATTTGTCCTGCTTGAGGGCTCTTGTGCTTTGAACCCAAGTCCAGATGTTTGTAAGTTCATGATCTTGACCACCTGAAGTCAAGTTCCTCAATACTCAGTGCTCTCACCTGGCCGTAGTCACTCCCCCTCCACACACAGACACTCATTCTCTTCCTCATTCATAATTGCTGTTTGCATATGTGACATGCATTCAGACCTTTAGTTGCTCAGGCACATAAGATAAGCTGTGGGTTAGGTGCAGAAGACTATGCTAGATATTAAGGTGTTGCAGTGTAGGTAAAGCTGATGGTGATGGGGAGGCTGAGAGACATACCCTTGATCCCTTGGAGCTTGTAGAAGAAAAGAGAAGCAACATCCAACCCAGCCTGAAGAACAGTTTTGTGGAGGAAATGACACCTGAGCATTATGATGGGGTTGAAGTGAATCAGTTGAATGAGGAGTTGGGAGGGGCAGGGGAAAGGGAAAAGGAGAATGTGAGAGGTGGTGAGATTTAAACAGAAACCTAGGAGAGGAAACAGCTGAAAAACCCATGTGGAGACCTGAAATGACCTTGGGAAAAGAGTGGTCAGGACTGCACGCTCACCAGTATTACTAGGTTGTTGCATTGGATGGCATGTGCTACACTTATTTTCTTCCTACCACTGGTCAGTCCATGTTTCCCATGAATCAGTGCTTTTTTTCAGGGTTCCTTTGCTGCCAGGTGTCTCATCAACTCACTTTTCACCATGACCATTGTCCACAGTGTGGCTGTCAGCCATAATTCACTCTTGGCTCCTTGGGACTTCAGGATCCTAATATCACCACCTTTTTTCTCCTTATGGCTTGAAATACTGCTTTTTAACAGAGGACTGGCAGGAGCGAAGCACGTGGAGCCCTGAGGAGCATGAGACATTTGGAGCTCCTGACCCAAATGAGCCTCGCGGTTCTTATTTCTTCTGGCCTGACATGAAGCCTCCCTCTTCCCCCTTGAGGTCACCAGCCCATCTCCTGCTTTAACTCTTGGCACTCTTTTTGATTCTCAGACTTTTGCAGTTCTTACCTCTGCCAGTGCTACTACCAGTTTCTGGCTGTAGATATAATTAAAAAGTTCGACTTAGTCATTGTCAACTAAAATAGGAAACATATCATTATTATGAATGTTTATTGACATAGTTGCTATGAAATTGTGACACACTTCTCTTTTAAAATTATAAAATGGCAAAAACTATATTAAAAAGCAAGAAAAATTCATGGTAAGAAATGTGAATGTGCATAAAATGAATGTATGGACCCTGCATTGTTTAACGTAGTTTCTGGCACATGTGACAAAGCCATATGAGAAAGCCGTAGGATATGCGGCCTCGGTTTGTGAGCATGTTGATTGTGGAGCTAGGGTTATCATACAGATGATTCTGTATAATCCAGGGGTTGGCAAACTATGGTCAGTGGGCCATTGCTAGCCTGAGACCAGTTTTTGTAAATAAAGT